AGAAACTATTTTTCACTTATAAGATTTAAAATGTGCCTATATGTTAAAGAAATTCAGCTTTTATCTACTTTATGATTAACAGGATTCTGTTCAATTTGGATATGGATGGATTTGGAAATGAGTATTTTTTCATGGTTGGGGGCCGAGGTAATAATAAAGGTTTTTTTCAAAATCAAATTAATGGTTGAGGGTTAAGGCATGTTCTGGTAGTTTGGAGGTGGAAGGGTTCCGGGATGTTATGGATATTTCATGCTGGGAAATACGGGTTTTGGTTTCGCTAATATAGGAACTATTACAATCAGGAGTAGAGTAAGGTATCCGGTAAACTACATTAGATCGGTGTTGTAAAAGTATGGGATCCTTCAAGTTGGTGAGAAGGAAAGAAAGTTTGTTATGGGACTTAAGGCCAAGACATAAGTTGTTTATAGTCGATTTTAGGAATTTTTGTACATTATCTGAAAGAATAGGAATATAGGAGAGAGATTTGTATATGAAAGGAGTGGTAGGTGATTGTGGGGAGTTAAGAGAAGGGGAGGTTGTACAGCTGTTTAAAAGTTTATGTATAATGTTGAAAGAGAAATTATTGGAAAGGAGTATATTTTTGACATTCTAAGTGTTGGCTTGGTGATATTGTGGATCAGATAAAGAGAGAGATCGGTTAATAAGGTTTTTGGCGGTATTAATTTTTGTTGTTGTTATTGGTGTTAAAAATAAAACTTAAGCAGTCTGCCTGAGTGAGTAGAAATATAGCTGTCGATAATTAGAAGGTCTAAGAAGGGGAGTCAATTGTTAACTTCTTTTTCTATTGTAAAACGAAGACGGGGTGGTAAGAGTTGAATGAGGAAAGGATTTGAGAAATACTTTCAGGATTAAAAACAAGGAGGATGTCACCGAAATATTTTTTAATGAAAATGATGTCTTGATGGAATGAAGGAATAACGGAGTCTGGAAGGTCATTAAGAAAAATATTGGAAATATCAGGTGCTAAAGATTTTCGCATGACTAGACCTGAAGTCTGGTTAAATAATTTACCTTGGAAAATGAAATATCCGGATCTGCAACAAAGCTCAAGGTATGAGGAGAGGATGAGGGTGGTGTGATGTTCGATGATTGTTCAGTTTTTTTGTACAATCTGGAGGGCTTTGTCTATTGGAATGTTGGTAAATAAAATTTTCAGGAATATGGAGGGAAGACAACTTTTCTTTGAGGTGAAATGAATTATTAATGTCATAAGGATTATTGTGGCTAAGTTTTTGGAGAGAGGGTAGAAGGAATTTGCTGAGCTTAGCCGAGGGAGTGTTAATATTGGAGATAATAGGGCGGGAGGGATTTTCACGTATGTGAATTTTCGGGAGTCCATATAAGCGGGGTGCTAAGGAGTTGTAAGATATGAGGTTGTAGTAAGTGGGACGGTTAATTTGATTTTTCTCGAGTAGATTTTTTATGCAAATTCGTGTCGAAACGTTGGCTTCAAATAAAATAGTTTTTCCATTATTTTAGTCGCTTTATGATTGCTACTCTGAACCATATCCTTCCTCTAAAATAAAATAAATAGTTTGGTTTAGATATAATGTCGATGTTAGTTAACTTAGATAATTGTGTGTCCCATAGTATGTGAAAGGTCTAAATGCACCTTTAGGTTCAAGGAAGTGTAACATGCCACAGTTAAAAATCGAGACTATGTTTACGTCACTACCCCGCTAGTACGGGCAGATCCCTAGCAACCCTTGTCCAAGTTTCTTTGGCTTATACTTAATGGTATAAGTGAACGCGTCGTATGGTAACTGCTTTGAAATTTGTTTACCCGCCATTACTGAGTTTTGTCATGGAGTATGAAACTGGGGTTTTTGTGTATTCTGTTTTCATAAAATCATTTGATTAGACTGATATTTCATTATCGATATACTAATAAATTAAATTTATTTATTTAAGAGTGTATCTAATTTTAATTCTTAACAAGTTGACTAATTTTGTTTTTATACTCAACATTTTTATTTCAATATTTATATGTTTTATTGAATATTATACGTATTTGTATAAAATACTAAGTATTTAGTTGTAAATTTAGTTTTTTTGAGATTAATTAGTCGTTTAGCTGCTTAAAATTGGGACATGAACATTATCTGCATTTCTCCATAAAAACTTCGAGAGTTTGAATAAAATAAGTTGAAGTGAAATTTTGAATAATTATCTGTTTGTTTTTATTTTTCTGCAAGGAGCATTTATATTAAATGTTTCACGTTTTGAATTATATTATATTAATGTTTGAAAGAAAAAAAAGAAGAGGTGGTTTAGCATTTCACATTATATTTCCAAAGTAATTGAACTAAATAATTTTAATTACTAAATAGCAATATTATTTAATGTAACTTATACGTTTTTTTTTTACTCTTAATTTTTTTAATTTGACTCTTTTTGTACTTTTTTTGTTTTAATTGTGGATGGTTGGTTTATTATTGAATGATGTTGAGTATCCTAAACCAAAAAATACTACATAAGGGTACTAGTTTTAAAGTGTTATTACAATATGGCAGCAGTGCCCAAGATCACATCACTCTTACTGTTATGGGAATATTGAGGTATGCTGAAAGTAGACAAGTACTGATACTCATGTTCACATATGCTGGCAGGTCTGTCTTCACTTATACAAGCCATTTAGGTATGTTACTCTACCTTCCTTTTTAATGGCTTATTGAGAAGATAGTGGGTTAAATATTTAGCTTCTTTAATTATTTCACAGCTTTCAAAGTTCTGTACATTGTGTTCTTTCAAGAAATAAACAAACCTTCTAAAGGGAATCAGGGTAGCTCAGTGGGTAAGCATTAACTTCTAAAGCTCTAGGTCCCAGGTTCGATTCCGGCTGATAATAATTAATTTTTCATCAGCTGGGGGTCAGGAAACCCTTCTGGGGCATGCCCATCCTCTTTAAAGTGGGTGCTCTTAATTAAAATAATTTATTAAGGGGAAAAACCAGGCGGTTTAGCGTGGTCACTGCCCAACTGGCAGCCTTGAAACAGTACTTCTTTTCTAAGTACTGAACCCAAGGCCCCTTCGTGGGTATTTGTAGCATAGGTTTTTTTATTTTTATAAAATCACTTTTAATAATAAATAATTAATAATCAAAGTAAAATCATCACTTCATTAAAGGTCCTTGTTAGTAGAAATAATTATTGTAAGTTGTTGATGACAAACTGATAAAGATCCACTTTCTCTAACAAGGAACCTATAAGTACTTGCCTTCAACTGTAAAGGGGGTGTTTATATCCTTTAAGCGAGCAGAAAGTCAGTAGCCAGAGGAAGTGGACAGTTATGATGTAATGGAAGCGGTCATAATTTTAATAATCATTACAAATCCTAATGGTTAGGTATGTCAGTGTATGTATTTTTTTTTTTCTAAAATGATTAAGGTCATGAGATCAGCTGCCTCAGTCTATTTTGTGACACATTCACCTTTTATTAGAATTCATTTTACAGTATGATCTTGTGCTCAGCCTTCATATTGGAGTAACACTTCTGATCTAATGCCAAAAAAACATTTTGGCAAATGCAAATAAATCTAAAAAAAACTCCTTGACAGCTTACTTTTCAAGAGTAATATCATATTGATAGATTAAGATTGTGGTTGAGAATTGAGAGATGTTTTCAGTTTTGAGCAATGTTTGGCTTTTGTATAAGCTGCTTTGAATATTATTTTAACTCAGACCATCACTTCGTAATGAATTGACTGGATCAGGTGTTATGGAGATGCAAAGCCCTCACCTGTCCACTTACTGGCTTTTTCACTTTCTGATATTTCAGTCAGCCCCATTACCTATTCAGCACTTACCTTATTGTATTGTGCAAGATTGGTTAGGACTGCATTGCAATTCTCTAAAAAATTTTATAATATATAACTTCTATGTACTCCCTCTACCATCTGAGTTTATGTATATAATGTTATGAATCTATTCATTAGTCCTGCTGACTGAGTTTGGACGCAACTGCTGATACTTGAAATACTGTAGTATTCTTAAATACTTATTTAGGATAATGGATATTTCATCTAGTGATTACAATCCTTTCTCTAAATGCCTGCTCCTGAACTATGAGCTGTAAGAACTATGACCTACAAATTTCGTGCATCTTTATTGCAGTTTACACATTTTTTTGATCTATGCTCGTTTTTTTTATCTGTCTCAGCCATGTACTTAGTGTAACTAAATAAACTTTCAGATTTGATTGTTAGAATATAAAACAAGCATGCGATCATCTTCTATCCACTGTTTTAACTATAATTGTCCATTTTGGATTTTAGATTACAGGATTTTGGATTTTGTATCCTGTTTCACAAGCCTATAAATATCTTAAAGGTTTCTGCCTCAGCCTCTAAATGTAATGGTGTTAGACCTAGCATTACGTCCTTTGCTGCCTCTAGGTTATTACTCATAGTGCCAGCTATTTCGCAGATTAATATTTAATCTTTTTAATTTCTCCATTTGTATTCTTGATCTGTCCTCCTTTGTTTTCACTATATAACATCGCTGTAATGAACCCAATTGACCAAATATTGAATATTAACAAAACTTATAAGGCCAGTCATACCATGTTCATCCTAGGCCTGGAGCCTTTGATAGGAGAGGACTTCCCTGTCTTCAAGAAAAAGGTTTTAACGAGAATTTTCGGTTTTATAAAGTATAGATATTTCCTGAAAAGAAGAAAAAATCAGGAACTCTGTGAAATTTTCGATGAAGCTGATAATATGTGTATTGTTAAACTGAAAAACTGATGTGGGTAGGTTAATTAGTGGAAATGGCTGGTACAGAGATTATAAGACTAAATAGTATGAAGAGAATAGTTATACTGCAAGAGGATGTCTTAAGGAAGTTGTGGTTGCTAAGGATAAGATTCCATTTGCAGTAATTTGAAGCTCAAAGCATATCAGGATCCAACAGAGGTTGTAGAGTAAATTTATAATAATAAAAGAATTACAAATAAAATATATATAAAACAAAATATACTTGAAATATTAAAGTACTTGTAATTAAACTAAAAATGTCATCATATTTTTAACCCATGTTAGATTTTTATTTATATTTATAAGCATCAGTTATTGAAAATAAAAATATAAACATTTTTTTGCCTGGATAAAAAAGTCCTTTAAAAAACTTCTATACTTTGTTATGTACATTTATGCAACTTTGGATTTTTATGATTCTTGTATTTTTTCTTTCTAGGTAGTAAAAAAATAAAACTCACCATTTCAATTTGAGGTGTTATGGATCAATTTGTGTTAATAGACCTTCTCATGAAAGTCAGACAGAGTTTTGGGAGGTAGTAGCGATACTAAAGAGTTTTTATTTCTTGATAAAATTTAAGGAATACCTAACCAAAATGTATCCAAAAGTTTCTCCAATTGGTAATAACTTTGATTTGTTATTTTTAGTTTTTAATATTCACTTAAACTGGTTTTCACTTAGTAAATAACACCAAATAAATAAATAAAAAGTTACAAATGGGATTAATTTTGAAAATATGTTATTTACTTGAAACAATTTTTTTTTTTTCCCTCCGACATAAGAGGTGTACCGCGGTTTCAAAAAGGCCTATTATGCATCATTCTAAACTCAGTTAAAACAGGCCAGATGCCATTGCGAACCTATTCATACTTATAGGATCAATCATTTCGCAGTGCTTAGGGTCAGTGATACGATCACATCCAAAGTGAAAGTTTCTCAGTCTAGCCAAATTATCTCATCTACAAATAATTTGATAGGCCATTTCATCCTCCAGGCCACATAGCCTGCAGGTGGAAGTCTCACTTACACCCAAATTGAATAGGTGCTTATTTAATTGACAGTGACCGATATACAGTGCTGTCACCCGCCTAACAGTATTCCTGTCCATTAGAAAAAGTGAATTTCTTCTCTTATGGCAGGGCCCTACTGGGAATAACTTAGAATGGGTTTGTTTCCTAGTCTGTGCCCAGTGTAGCATAAATTTATTGCCCATGTTCGCCTTAATATGTATTTTGGCAAAGCCAAGGCTTATCCCACAAATAGGCTCTGCTGCAACCAGCACCTGTGCAGAACCGTTCCTAGCAAGATAATCAATCGGCTTTCTCACTTCCTGGAATGCCTGAGTGCCCAGGTACCCATTCTACTCTCACCTTGTTAGTACTACAAAGAAGGTTAAGATTGCTTTTGCATTCATCCACCAGCTTTGAGCAAGTTGCATATCTATTCAGGGCCCCAATTGCCGCTTGACTATCCGTATATATTGTCATTCTATTCACAATGACTCCTTAATAAGTGATTGAGCATAGAAATCGATGGCTGAAATCACGGCTTGAAGAATGGACGTATATCTACCTAGAGATATGAATGTTCCCTCATTAGGTTTATCCTTTCTCCAGATACTAGCCTCTGATCCCTGCTTCATTAAGGAGCCATCGGTATAACAGTTAATTCCATTACATGATCTATGTGACTTACTCCTGCTTATGTTCAAATTATATAGTATATCCTTATAATTATCAACTTAAGGGTCAGAGTTCATCGTAAGCACCTCATTGCTATCAATCCTATCAAAAATGATCCCATGACCCTGAAACGTCAGGAATTTCGATCTCGTTCTCAGTTTATCCAATCTATAGGCAGTTCTGAGAGCATGTGCTCCCATCTCTAAATGCAATAGTGTCAGATTTAAAAGAACCTCCCTCCATTGCAGTAGTGGGAGTAGTGCTCATAGCTCCCGTCGTCATAAGGCATGCAAGCCTTTGCAGCTTGCCAAGCAGCATTCTAGGTCTGCCCGCAGCTGCCCTATGCCACCATACCACAGTTGCATAGAGGATTAAGGGTCTAATCGCAGTTCTGTATAGCCAGAAGGCCATACTAGGTTTCAGCCCCATGATTTGCCACCAACTCTTCTGCACGCCCATAAACAGCATATAGCCTTACCACTAATCTTTTCAATATGATTTAGCCAGTTTAATTTACTACCTATAGTAATCCCAAGGTGTTTTACTTCACTACATATATTTAGTATTGTCCCATTAATGCTGGCAATCTAATGTTAATATTTCTTCTATTAGTGAAGATACAGAGGTTTATCTTCTGCGGGTTTATGCCAAAGCCATTTTCCTGGCACCGTTCCTTCAGAAGTCTCATAGTTTTTTCGAGCAATTCAGAGATAGTATCTGGAAACTTGCCCCCTATTAATACCGCAATGTCGTCAACGTATCCCTGAAAATAAAACCCCGCTGCATTCAATTTAACAATCAGGGAGTCGACGACCAAATACCACAAAAGTTGAGACAGCACACCCCCCTGTGGACACCCTACAATAGGTTTAAACTACAGTACGGATAGTTCCAACTTAGATTTAAGGACTCTTCCCCTCAGAACCGAATTAATCCATTCTAAAGCCACGTGTCTGACCCCTTTACTTTCCAATCCTCTAGCCATTGTATCATATGGGGTACGATCGAAGGCACCTTCAATATCAACGAACATTCCCGCCATAATCTTTCTGCGATAAACTTTTCTCGATTTTAGAGATAAGATAATGCAATGCTGTCTCACAAGATTTGCTTGCTTGATAGGCAAACTGGGCACAGTGTAGCAGTCTTTCTACTAATGTAGAGTCTCTAATGTGTCTATCCATAATCTTTTCCAACGCCTTCAACAGAAAAGAAGTCAGAGATATAGGTCAGTGTGCTTTGGAATTGTCATAGGACTCTTTCCCAGGCTTAGGTATATACCAGATTCTTGCTTCCCTCCACTTATTAGGGATATATGCAGGTGCTAAGCTACCGCTAAATAACTCCAAGAGATAAGGTTTAATTACAGGTAAGCCCTTTTGTTGCAGGGCTGGGAAAATTCCATTGGTACCAGCTGATTTGAACGGTGCAAAACAATTAATTGCCCATTCAACTATCCTAGAATTCACAATTCTTTTGGCTTCGACCCACTTGTCTTTGCCACAGATGTAGCTATCCATAGTAAGATTAACTATATACTCATCAAGCATTTGACAGCCGGGAAAATGAGCTCCCGCCAGAGCCTCCAGAATGGGTGTTACCTCATTCACCCCTGACCGTGTCAATGACCAAGCCATCTGTTTTCTTTGTTAAGATTCTATGGACTCTGGACGTGGATGACTTGTTAATGTCACTACAAAAGTTTCTCCACGCCCCCCTTTTTGCCCTAAGTACAGCCTTATTATATTCAGTTAGGGCATGCTTATAGTTATCCCATCTAGTTGTGGTTCTTAGCTTGCCAAGTTCATCGTTCCACCAGGAAATATTCCTGTTGGATCTGACGCAACTGACATCAGTTTAAGACCTCATAATTCCCTCATATAATGAGGAGTTGAGGCATTCCAAATGCCAAGAGTTCCTAATGACAGCATTTGACTTCTTCCTCTAACTGTGTATAGTATCTCTCCCAGTTTGTACGTTTTGGGTTTCTGTATACAGTCTCAGTCACATTATATCCAGACAAGTCAAATCTGATATAACGGTGATCAGAGCATGAATCTTCACTAGAAACATGCCATCCCCTTATCCTAGAACTCAAGCAATGCGTGCCTAATGTTATGTCTATTATTTCCGAATGGATGCTATTGACAGAAGTGGCAACACTGCCCCTACTTAGAATCTCAATATCGAATCTACTTACTCGAAGTACTCTAAAAGAGACTCACCTCTCCGGTTGTTCTTAGAACTTCCCCTGATCTTATGGTGAGCATTGGTATCCAGGCTTCTTTTCCCATCCTCTCCCCTAAGCTTCTGAGAGCTGCTGTAGTGATGTCCTCTTCGTAAGGTAGATACCCTGCCGCCACTATAATCTTCTCCCCATCCTTACCCTCAGAAAGGGCTAGTTGAGCTGTTGCCAGGTCTCTGAAACAATGATGCCACAGAGGCATCAGCTTAATTCTATTCTTGAACAGGATTCAGGTTCTCGGACACTTAGCCACTGCAATATTGCTATACCCAGTCATGTCCAGCCTCCTAATCCTGTTCTCGAGCAGGTAAGGTTCTTGAATCAATACGATATCAATATCCTTACCTCTAATATACTTCTGAAGCACTCCACAGGCTGCCAGACAGTGACGGAGATTCACCTGCAACAGCTTAAGCATCATTAAAGGAAGTCAGCTGCAGGAGGACCACCCTCCCCCAGGATCCGAGGAGGTACATCTGTCCTGATTACATATTTCTCAGGTCCAGAGACCCCCTCTCCCCCACACCCATCGGAGATAAGCCCTCCCGAGCTGACTCAGACACTACTAAAATGCCACTAGTGGAAGCAAAGGTCTCCCCTACCTCCTCTACCTGGGGAACATTTAAAGAAGCAGTACCCACCTTTGCTGTCTGCGCACTAGGTTTGGGCGGCTTGTTCTTAAACACCTTAAGTGCAACTTTGGCCACGCCATACGTCACCATCATGTTCCTGCCCTCAATGTGTTTGATACTTATTTCGGGAATTTTAAGGATTCCGTAGAATCCGTTTGTCTCCGCCTTAGTTCCCAATACCTGCCAACTGTCAATGTCTGAGATCCTACCATTTTTAATGCGGAATCTCCTAATAAGTAGCTCCTCCACAATTTTCTCCCCAGGGAAGTATGCCCCCACCCTAACAATTTTTTTGAGTTCCTCTACATTTCAAATGGAGTTTAATACCCCCACTGATAGTGAAGCCCTCCACTACAGTATGAAACCAGTCTTTGGTGGCTTGATCATCGCAAACGATGATAGACCCCCCTCTCCAGATGGTGGCGGAAGCCACTAAATTCAGAGATGATGCCAGCAAACTCCAGCCAATCAACAGATTTGATCACCTGAGCTTTAAATTCTTCGCTCTGCTCCCTGGAAAGCTGCACAGATGGCTATCCACAAGGGAAAATTGTTGCTATACTGCCCCCAGCCACTAGAGCATACGAAATTGCACCAGCCTCCCTGCTTCTGGTCCTCTTTGCCACAGGCATCAAGTTCCCTGGTGAGGATCTGGTATGCTTCGTGACTGGCCCGGGTTCCTCACTAACCGGTGCCTTTGCAGCCGGAGCTACTGTAACCGATAGCTCAGTCCCAGACAATGCCTCGATCCTCTTCATCCTTTTGTATTTCCTTCTCTGTGCACCAGAGAACTTGGGTTTTGGTGGGACACCAGTTCCACCAGCCATACCCTTAACATCCTCTGTTATCACAGAGAGCTTCGAAACCTCAGCTGAGATAGTCTCAGTGGAGTGTCTTGAATTTTCCTCACGAGGGTCCACCGATGACCCTTCTGAGTATCTCTCAGCCACTTCCTTCTCTAACAGTTCCATTTCCGTAAGTAGTTCCATGTCCATTTCATCACCAGTGACTCATTATCAGTGATATCCGTCTGGGTTTGTTTGTTAAGTGGTTCATTCATTTTGGTTCCCACGAGTATGGGGGTGGTTAAAAGATTGCTACAGGTACTACCCCACTTCCTGCAGAAGGCTAATTACAATGGGTTGCGCCAGGTGCCTCAAGTGAATTGGTTGAATTGACTCTAAATTGGAGGGAAGAAGTGTGGATCCCTGCCTCTGTCGTTAGTGAGTCCCCAGTCCCATCGGACTTCCTGGGGAGCACCACGAGAAGGTGACAGTATGCGTTGATAGGGATAGGGAGGACTGGGAAGTCACAAGCAGTGGGTAGGTCACTATTGCTTGATCATTCCATAAGGAGTGTGGAGATTCCCACACCCATCTCCCTCTCCAGCCCTCCTGTTACCCTACCCATTTTTTTATCTTTACTTTGAATTTTCATTGTCAGAAATTTTTTCTTTTCTGTTTTGTTTTTTAATTTCTTGTTTTGATTGTTGATACAGAACATTAAACTTAATAAAATTACCTCATTTTTATTTTATATAATTTTATAATCATTAAGTTGATGTAGTATGGATGTGCGCACTTATTGATATAGTCTATTTATTTTTAGAAGGTGAACAATCATCACCTTTGGGTGAATGTTCAAAAAGAAAAAGAAAACATAGTAGCAATGATAAAGATGAAATTGACAAGACAAATCAAGTTAAACGGAAAAGGTAAATTGTTTTGTGTTGAAGTATTTCATAGAAACAATCATTTTATTTGTAAGTATTAACTTTATAACGTTAGAAAAACAAAAAACAAATAAATGATAGTTTTACTCACCCATAATTAAGTGAATGTATTACCCATGTTTTTTTAATTTTGAAATGTAAAAATTGTTTAGAATTTAAAAAAGTCTCGGTCAAAGAAAATGATCATGAAAAAAGTAATAATAACAATATATTTATATACATACACACCTATAATAAACTGTTAATAATTATTTACTGTGACTCTATATAGAAATAATTTTAAAAGATGTAAACTCAAACAAAAGAGTGAAGGAAAGAAGCATATTCCATAATTTATAAAAAAAACTTTTTATTCTTTGATTTTGGCAATAATGACTTCCAATTGAATAACAATTGATTTATTTGTTGTATTTCCAAGTTACATGTTAACGTTTCGGGATATTTACTCCCATCTTCAGAACTACAATCCCAATGTTTCTTTGTTGATTCATGGCTAAAAATTAAGTTAAATATAATGTATGTTACAATACATGTCAGAATTGAGTTGTTACATTAAATTTGTAATTACCTTAAGTCTAATTTAATGTAACAACTCAATTCTGACATGTATTTTAACATGCATTATATTTAACTAAAATATTAGCCATGAATCAACAAAGAAACATTGGGATTGTAGTTCTGAAGATGGGAGTAAATATCCCGAAACATTAACATGTAAATTGGAAATACAACAAATAAATCAATTGTTGTTTAATTGGAAGTCATTATTGCCAAAAACAAAGAATAACATACAACTTACCAAAAAAAAGAAAAAACTTTTTAATGATTTTGTTATGAAAATTAGATCTAACTAATTTTACCATTTCACAATCTAATGATATAAACGACTATGTTTAAACATAGATAGTATTCATAATTAAACATAAACATTACTGAATTCACTAACCAGAAATCAAATCAAAACAATCATATTTGACACCATTTTCTATTCTCCTGTTCTTACCAAATACTTTTTTATTGTCCTGGCTTTGTGTTTTCGTTTTTTGTCTAATTGGAAACTAATCCTGCCCTATAAGCCTCAACCTAGATGGTATTGGGTGATATATGAGGACACTGTGATACTTTATAGCATCCAATCACCCTTATGTTCCTATAAGATTATCCAAAAACAGAAAAGAACCATACACCGATATTAATATTCCGCAATGCTTCATAATTCAGAATAAGTAATTGTTTAAATACTCCATTCCAGGTGGCCCCCTGATATCCTATCCTTTATTTTATAAGAATAAAAGGGAAAATTGATGTAAAAAAGAATGCAATATCCTCATTCACCTCATTACCATCTTAGTGGTTGATGCTTCTAGGGCCAGTGTTTGTTTTCCGCACTTAAGCACATAGCCAAAACTTTATTAGAATATTTGGCAGGCAAAGAAAAGTAGGCAGTTGAAATGTATCAAATCGAATGTCCTAACTTTACTATTATAAAACATTTGTGGGCATTGCTTAATAGAAAAGGAATTGCGAGGCAACCTCGTTCTCTAGACCTCTTAAGAGTCCTAAAAGAAGAGTGGAAAGATTTGTCCATATTACATTGCCTCTTTAATTTGCAACATTAATAATAGATTTCTTAGCCCTAAAAGAAAATGAGGAGGACACATCAGATATTATTGTTTGGTTTATGTTTTATATTTGTTAAATATTTTTTTATCACAATAATCTAATTTTTTTTTCTGTTCTCAACTTAAATTGTTTCAAGTATGACATTCAACAACGTTTTTACAGCACTTTATATGTATAATTATTTGGTTTAAAGACTCATTTAAGAATATATATAATTAATTGAAAATTTTATAAATATTCTTCTTTATTTGATAAGTATTTGGTAGAGATGTCATGCATTTTTCTAAAATTATTATTATCTTTGTTTATGGGATGCTTTTATTTATTTCAGAAAAAAAGGAAATGAAGTGATTGTTCCTGATATTATTCATGAATTAAAAGAAGACCTTGATCGGGAATTGGATATAAAAGCTCAAAGGAATAATTTAACCGCAACTAATGTCAAAAATATGATAAAAGTAAAGTATTAGCCAGTTCAGATATGTTCGATTTTAATATTAAATTGAATCATTTTCAATGTTATGGTAATATATCTTATTGATTATAAATATATGCAAAGAAATACAATTAAAAAGTAGGCGATATACTAAGAAAAAACTAATATGCTTAAATATTTTTAAAACTTACATACTAGAATTCATTAAATTTTTTTTTTTTTCTCGCCTCTACTCTAAAGGATCATTGGCATTTCCTATAATTTATATTCTATTATAGTAATTTCTAATCTTTAAAAATTTAAACATGATAGAGACTCGCTCTTCATTACCTTGTAGTATATCTTTTAGTGTTTTTCCTAGATCTATTTTTTTTCTGTAGCTTTCAAATTGGGGACATTCTACCAGAAGGTGTTTCACAGTTTGAGGTATATTATTGCATTTTTCCGAAGTAGGAGCTTCTAGACCTCTTAAAAGGTAGCTATGTGTGAACTGCCAGTGCCCAATCCTAAGACGGCACAATACAATTTCTTCACGCTTGGAACTTCTGGTGCTAGTGAGCCATCGTGCATTCCTTTCTCAAATATGTAATATGCTGTATCTAATTCAGTTTCTTATCAACTATCATCACTAGATACTTGTGACTTTCTGTATACTCAATTGAAGAACCTTTCATAAATATTTAGTTGGTTATTGTGCTAACACTTTCGACTTCTACAAATGTGTAAACATTTAGACTTCGAAGATGAGATCTTAAATCCAGTTTCCTTTGACCAATCTTTTACTTTATCCATCACTTCTTGCAGCCTCCACTGTATATAGGGAATAGATTTGCTTCCGGCTGTGATAACAACATCATCGGCAAATAGGAAACATTTGATCGGGGTCTCTATAATGAATGAATGAATGAATGTAAATAATTTTATTATTCTGGGACTAGTGTCCCATTAGAACAAGTTACAAATACAGAATATATATTAATATTTTGATTTGTCCATAAAATACAGTTTAATATTTACAGGTTGATTAGGAATACAATAAAGTTATAAGTAATAAAAAGATATAAATACATGTAAATATAAAATATACAGAGAAAGTAATTAAGTAAACGAAATATCGATGAATCACAAAGTAATCAGAGTATCTGGGCGTACTTTGAGGTTTTTACAGCTTAGGTTTTTAAGTGCATTTCGTGATCAATCGGATTGGGAATGGAGTAGATGTTTGAAGAGGAAAGATTTGAAAGAGGATATTGATTTTGCGTGTCGAATATCTGAAGGTATAGAGTTCCAGAGGGAGACAACTTGTATTAAAAAGGATTTATCAAACGCAGCAGTTCGGTGAGGAGGAGGATAGAGGTCAGACACACGGGATCTGGTTGGACGGGATTGAAAGGAGCGTTTGAATTGTAGGATCTGTAGAATATAGGCAGGTCGCCGTGTTCTAATGGCTTGGTATAGGAAGGTAGCAAGGAAATATTGACAGCGGTAGGACGGATAAAGCCACTTCAACTTGGTGTAGAACTGGGTAATATGCGTATCCCTTGAGATCCCGAAGATAAAGCGGATTGAGCAATTCATTAAACGTTTAAGTTTAGCTTCGAGTTCTCCTGAGAGTCCACCGTACACCATGCAGCCATTGTCAAAGTGGGGGAAAACAAGAGAGGAGACCAGGAATTGATGGGTTTTGAATGGAAGAAGATAACGTAGATGGTTAAACTGTTTCAGGGTGGATATAGTACTGTGGGAAATTTGGGAGATGTGTGGTTTCCAGGAGAGGCTTTGATCGAGGGTAACGCCTAGGTTTCTAACGGTGATATGGAAGGAGATAGGTGAATTGTTCAGAACAAGATTAGGAGGTGTTGAAATGGATTTGAGGAGTGAGGGAGATCCGATCAGGATGGCTTTTGTCTTCTCCGTATTTAATGTCAGTTTATTAAGATTTGCCCATGCGCATATTCTATTGATGTCTTGTTGCAGTTTCAGGATGGCATTAGAGGAATCTGTCGGGTTGAAGGAAAGATAAATTTGGACGTCATCGGGGTATAGGTGATATTGACAGTGTATGATAGAGGAAGGGAGGTCATTGATGTAGATGGAAAAGAGGGTGGGGGATGATGAGGAACCTTGTGGGACGCCTCTGGACAGAGGTAGAGGCATTGATTGAGGGTTATTAGGAACTACAACGTATTTCTACAACGAGGGCGGAATGAGTGGAGTAGTCTGGTCTAAAACCAGACTGAAAGCAGTTCAAATGTTTATTTTGTTCAAGATATTGGGATAGTTGAGATAGTACTATTTGCTCTAAAGGTTTGGAAAGGTTAGATAACAGGGAAATTGGACGGAAATCATTGGGGGTTGTGGGATTAGAGATTTTGTTCAGAGGACGAACAAGAGCAGTTTTCCAGGTACTGGGAAAAGTGGAGCTTTGTAGTGAGAAATTATAGATATGATAAAGGACTGGGAAAATGGATGGAATTGAGGATTAATGGAAATTAATTTAACTGGGATATTATCTGGTCCAAAATCTTTGGTTTGGGATTTACAGATGGATGTAAGGAGGTCGTCAGTGGTAATATGCGAAAAGAAAAAATGATTGGGATTAAAGGGGGGATGTATGAGAGGTGGAGCTGGTGCTTAGACAGAGGGATCATATGAACAGGAGACAAAATGAGTGTTGAGTATGTCAGCTGAAATAGAGGTAGTCTGGGTTTGTGTGGATTTGCCTAAGGATAATTATAGAGGATTGCCCACATAGCTTTGGAGTTTGGTGTGCTGGTTAAGGATTGTTGGTAGTAGTGGAATTTGGCACGACGTATCATGGATTGCGTACTTTTTCGAAGCAGCTTGAAATTCATGTAGTCTTCGGGGAGTCGAGTGCGCTTAAACCTTCGTCTTGCTGCGTCTCTTCGTTTGATACAATTTTTTATCGCTGGCGTCAACCAAGGGGTTGGTGGGTACTTGATTGTCCTGACTTTAAGAGGAGCGTGACAGTCTAGGATAATGTGCAGTTGATTGGTTAAGGTTTCTACCATAAAATCAACGGAGTTAGAGGAGTATATGGAGTCCCATTGGATTGCGTCAAGATCGGACATCAAAGTTTCGGATGATAGGAAATTAAGGTTTCTGGAGGATATAGATCGGGGACTAAATAGAGGAACAGGAAGGTTATAGGAGATCTGTATGAGATCGTGAGCAGATAAAAACGGAACCGGGTGCTGTTATGAGGCGAGGAGTTTATCAGGAGAGTCAATAATGCAAAGATCAAGCCAAGAGTCTGAGTGTTGGGTGTGATGGGTAGGGTTGTACGGAACTATATACAGATTGAGAGAGTAGAGGAGGTTTGATAAATAGGCTTGGTCAGAGGAAGGAAATAATAGGTTGGTATTGAAATCTCCGAAAAGAGCAATATTGGAGTAGGAAGGGCTCAGTTCGTAGAGGATGGTCTCGAGTGTTTCATCAAAGGGGATTCTAGGAGGTCAGTAGATGACACCAATGAGCAATGAATATGAGGAGGTGGATATTTCAGCAAAAAGATATTCGATATGTGGGGAGACGGAGAGAGGAGACAAAGCAAGGATTTTGGATTTCAGGTTATCATGAACAAAAATGGCTACTCCGATTCTATTTTCTCTATCATAACAGAGTAGGATATAGTTAGAGAGTGAAACTTGAGAGGATGTGACCGTGTGTTTTAACCAAGTTTCTCAGACAGCGATTAAGTGGTAGAAGTTGTGGAGGAAGAAATCATGGAATTCATCTATGTGGGCTAAAAGTAACTGTGCGTTGACATGACAGGATAATAAGACATTAGTCATAGGAGATGGTAGATTGGGGTAGTGAATCGGTAGGAGGGGTGAGAGATATGAAAATAATTAGGTTGGATTGATCTGAGATACACCGTGGATGCTGAAACATAAATAGCAAAACTATTGAGAAGTAGAAACTAGAGAAAATAGGTAAAAGAAATAATCTAGATAGTATCCTATAATCAATGGAGATAAGAAACAAAGAAATAGTAGATTCATACAAACAGAAAACGAAAATATACTTTGGCGAACAATGAGCAATAATACTAATAACATTAGCTGCAATATACACATAAATGAAATTGAAAGAAATATTAAACTTATAACAGTTAAGTAAATAGAAATTGCTAGAAAATGAGGTAGTGGGTTGAAGGAATGAGAGCAGCGAAGTCAAGTGAAGACGTCAAGGTCAGAAGGTGAATTTATAACAACTACGACGGCTGACCGTCGGTTCTCCTACACTTCTCTTTGCCGTCACCAAACAAGACATATTTTGTTTTTCCAGCCGCTCTCTTCTGTCTTGCAAGCCATTACAGGTGCCTGTTGGTCGAGGTCATGGCTTCTCCGATGAAAATTTTGTGAACATCGTTCTCCTGCCAGCCGATGTGACGAGTAGATAAATCTCTCACCACTTTCCGTTTATGAATCAGCTCATCTCTTAGCGTTAGTCGAACAAATCTGACCAATAGTGGACCAGGAGTGTTATCTTGCCGAGTTCTGATCCTCTCTATGCTGTCTACGTTTTCCACCTTTAGGCTTAGCCCTAGCACTGCGCCCACACTCACACTCAGCCCCATTGGAGTCTCACCGGAATTCCTCTAATCTCTGCGGTTTTAACCAGGTGCTGTTGGTCGGATCTGTTTAGCTTTATTTTAAGCTCCGTCACTCGTGATTTTAGAGTCGAATTCTCCAAAACCAAGCCATCTATTTTTGAGTTTTGAGCTTCTAGGAGCAATTCTATGACTTTTAATTGCTCCGAGTTTTGAAAGCGATAGATGCCTGGGTTTCCATTGACGATTTCAAACCCTTTAGGTCGGAGGCATTTGCTTCAACAGAACTTTTCAGGTTCTTAACCTCAGCTGTAAGCTCTTTGATTGCAGAGAGCAGCAACTACGATGTAGCATCCCCAGTGGTATGCTGCGAGATTGTGCCTCTTTCAGTAGGCGAACCATTTCCTTGAGCCTTTTCACAATTGGGACATTTCCAAGTCATTTCTTTTTTTAGGGATTCAATGTCTTTTATTTCAACATTCAGACATTTCCTGTGATAAATCGCTTGGCAGTTGGGTGTGGAACAAATTAATGTTTTTTTATCTTCCCTTGACACGATCTGCTTGCATAAAATACCATTAATCCCTAGAAGGAATAGGGTCGAACAAAGAGGAGATCCTTGTGGGGTACCCCTTTGCAAGCGCTGGCTTGAAGACAAAGTATTTCCTACCCTTATTGAAAATTCCCTATTAGTTAGAAAATTTTGTATATATGACCACATATTTCCTCCTATTCTTACTTCCTTCAAAATCTTCAACACCCGTCCTCTTTCCATTGTATCATAAGCTTTTTCTAGGTCTAGAAATATTGATATTAAGTGTTCTCTGTGTGAACACTTCCTGCGCTTCTAAGCTTAATGATGAACAGAGGGTCAATAGTTGAACAGTTCGGCCTAAAGCCAAATTGGTGTAGATAAAGGACATTCTTACATTCCAGCATACTAGTCAATCTTATATTGACCATCCTTTCTTGAATTTTGGAAACACATGAGATCAGTGAAATGGGTTGATAGACCTTTGGAACAGTGCTCTTTTCTTTTTTTGGTAGCGGTACTATGATAGATTTCCTCCAATTTGTTGTAAATGTTCCGCTTACCCAGATTTCGTTATATATATTTAAAAGATATTTTTCCTATAAAGATATAGCTGCTTTATGAACTCTCCTGGAATTTCATCCAGACCAGGAGCTGATTTTCCTTTGCACTCATTAAGCAAAGAATTTAGTTCGTTTAGTCGAAAGGGTCTATTGTATTCTTCAGAGTTGCTCTGCCCTAAAATGTAATTTTGATGTATTATATGGTCATCTATCGCGTCATCACTGCAGCTTGAGCAATTTCTTGTGGATCCGTTATGATCTGTTTGTCAATATTAAGTCCTCAAATTATGTTTTGTCTCCTAATTCCTCTGATGGCCCTGATCTTGTTCCATATCTCGTCTGGGTATGGTAGTTTATGAAAGAAACATATTGTTTCCACGATGCTCTCTTGCTTTCTTTGATTATTCTATTTGCAATTAGTCCCTTGAACTCGATTGCATCTTCAACAGTTCTATTTCTCCTGTATCGATTTAGGGCTCGTTTCTTTGTTCTTATAGCTTCATTGCAATTGTGATTCCACCATAGTACATCATGATGTTTCATATTATTTTTGACAGTAGGAATAGTTTCTTTTGCTGTGTCAATAACTAACTCATTAAAATAAAATATTTGTTCGTCTAAATTCTGTCCATATGGTATGGTTTGTAAACCTTGGATAGTCGATTTTTTATAACCTTCCCAATCTGCTTTTTCATATTTCTATCTGGTGTTTGATGACATATTGATACTGTTTTCCCATGTTTCAATTGCAAATGACTTTTAGTACTCCAATTTTTTACTTTAGTTGAGTATCTTGCATCAGAGAAACTTAAATCTATTGCGGAGAATTTATTATTTTTTGAGCTGAAATGGGTGTTATCCCCTGAGTTTAGTAGTACTGTTGAAGTGTTGTTTTCCAGGATAACAACAAAAACAAATAGACCAATGTATAACTAGCGCAAACGGAGCTTTCTTCTCCCTTTCAAAGGTATTGAAATCCTGTAAAAACTCAAGAAATCTCAAATTACAGGTGTACAATGCTATAATAAAACCAGTTCTAATATATGGCTACGAGAACTGGACACTAACCAGCACCCTAGAAAATTATTAAAAGATTTGAGAGAAAAATCCTCCGCATGATACCTGGAGCAATCTGGGATCAGAGTACTAAAACGTGGAGAATAATGAACTGCTTACAGAAACTGGTCAATCAATATCCCATGATATGAAGGCATGTAGGTTAAGATGGGTAGGGCATGTAGCTCGTAGCAATCCCTCTGGAAGACTGCCTCTGAAGTGGCAAAAGATCTAAATGATCTGTAATGCCAACAGGAAAAAAAAATAATAAAATAAAAAAAATTCTCAGTTTTATGTTTTTTTTTTTTTTTAGGCCGTTATAACTGATAGTGAAGTGCTTAAAATGATAGACTATTCCTTGGATAAATCTACAGAAAGGCCAGTTTATGATCTAAAATTAACTCGTGCCAAGACTAAGTATGTTATTGTTTTTTTATTTTATTAATATTTAATGTAATTTTTGTTTTATTTACTATAATTTAATTAGGTTATAAAACCTCCTTAATGCTTTTTATGTTCACGAATACTTAAGTTATTGCATTAATTTATACCTAATCATCATCATGTCAACTTACTTTGATGATTTTCAAAACTATTTTGCACCTTTAAGGCATAATTTTATTAATATTAAAGCAGTATAATACTATAATATTATATAATATGGTAGTACTATTCATGATAGGAACCACTAGAAATAATTTTTTATTGATACAAGCTGTATTATTTCATTCTAAATGATACCCGATTGTATGTTGTTTGCATGACCCTTTTTTAGGATGCTAAGTGGGAGGGGCGTTGGGGAAAATTTCAATTCAGCTATCTAGACCAGGGGTCTCCAAACTACTTCCCATAGGCCAGACCCACCTTTAATCCACCCTGTGCAAGATTCTTTGATTACACCAAAAGTTTTAAAATATTTTTTAAAAATATAAAATTCAACAAGTTACTCACTCACGAGGTTACTACAACATATATTACATTTCATTTTTTTCTCTTGAAAACTCATTTCACAGCTGAAGTGTCATTCATAGAGCAAGATTTTTTTTTCATCACAAGCCCTGGCCCGCGGGACTTGGATGGAGGTCTTTATAAGGCCACTTGGAACTTAGTCGAGATCTCAATGTGACCTGCAGGCCAAAACGTTTGGAGACCACTGACCTAGACCATTAATGTATCTTTTTAGATGTATTTTCAGACACTCAATCCAATAAACACAAATCTAGTCAATACTAATTGTAGGTAACAAATTTTTTGTCTAAATAAAGACAAACTGTTTATGTATTAAATTGCTTACACTCATATTTATTATGACATTAATATTCCAGGTGTAAATGTTGTTGAAAACAACTACAAAAGTATTTTATTGTTTTATGAAACAATTCTTTTGTCTATATGATTAAAACCTTGCGTAAATACATGTCTAAATACTGTATTGTGTTCATTTGATTCTTTGTATTGTGTATCAATCAAAAAATGTTTGTAAAAATTTATATGAGGGTTTGAAAAAATAGAATATAGATTTAAACCCTGATAAAATGAAGGGCATAGTTTTTTTTTGTTATAATAAAGAAAGAACGGGCATGGTTATATTCATGGTTTCATAAAAAAAAAAAGATTGCTGTCTATGGTGCTTTAGAGTATTGTCAAAGTTTTGCCATAATTTTTTTTCTTCCGAGAATTAGCACACGACAGTTTTGTCAAGATCAAAAATTTCAGTTGATATTCCACAAAAAAATTCTTATATTCCTGCATATCGAGAAATTATTGTTTAAATGTAGTTTCAGTCATGCAGCTATACAACTTTTTCATGTTTTGAATGAACAAATGGGCGCCTTCAGCATACTAAAAATTGTCCTGTTACTTTAAAATAATGAACTATTATCGTTTTCTTAATTAACCCAATTAACGTTATCTCTAAATATTGGATCCAATATTGCAAACCTGTAAGTTTTTCTCCTACATTTTTGTATAAATTCCATTTTGATTATCTTTTGGCATAATAATCCATATATCATGGAATCTTAACCTTATTAAATAGTTTGTGTAGGGGAATTGCTTCCACAGTCATACATAAATAAATATAAAGTTGTGAAAATGATTATTGATATATATTTATGCAAGCTTTTAATCATATTGTTGTGTGAATTAAGTATTTGCACCCGAATGCTACCTAGCGGTAGGCTTTGTGAAAAAAAAGATAACCAAGGTGAGCCTACCTGAGGACTTGACTCGGCTCACTCTCTGCTAAGGCCTCCTAGAAAGATGAACAAAATACAGGTGAAAGGGCCCGTCTCACTAAGTAAGAATTGCCCTATGTCAGCAGAAAGGGTGAGTTACTTATTTTTCACGATGCATATTCCTCACTAGTTGCCTTAATACAGTCCACTGACAAATATATTGCCTGATGTTAAACTTATTAAAGTTCTTTTTTTGCCTTTTTTGTTCTAAACTTCGTTATTTGCCTTAACACATATAAATAATAAAAAATTGTTTCATTAAGTAATAGAATACCTGCTGCAACTGTTTTCAACAACATTTCCACCTGATGTATTAAAAACTATGTAATAAACATGGGTGTATAAGTATTTAGCTATTTATAAGTATAAATAGCTAAGTTTTCCTTAACATCTCCTACTTAACCATCCTAAAAAGGATGAAGCATACAACATAGAGCCGAAAACTTTTCAGGTATCATTTAGAATGACATAACAAAGTATTCTCTCTCGAAAAAAAAAAAAAAAAAAAACCTGACATTTCTACACATATTCACATTATTATTCTGTTTTTTAAAATGGTTTTTGATTTTTCTTTTTAAAATAAAAACTGTTAGAGCTTGGATATGAAACTCTGCCACATCCACCCTACTCTCCGGATCTCTCGCCTACGGATTATCATTTTTTTAGACACCTGGACCACTACTTATGTAACAAAAAATTTAATGGACAAAGGGAATTATAAAATGCGTTTTTGGAGTTTATTCAATTTTAAAGATGGTAAAATTCTATTCCGAGAGAGTGGAAAAGTTGCCAACACATTAGCAGAAATGTATTGATAGTAGTGAGACTATCTTGATTAAATATAAGAGTTTTAAATCTTTCTTTTTTTCTTTTTAAACCAAAATCCTGCATTATTTTCTGGACAATTCAATATTTAGGGCATCCTTCCAAACATTTTATTTTGTTTTTTTATCTAACATTTATACTATTGTAATGTATTTTTATGGCATTACCTTCTATACAATTTTTTAAAATAATATATGAACTTTTAAACCTTTTTTTTTTTTTACACAATTTGAATGAGTCAAAAACTAAAAACAAAACTGTTTTGTATTTAAGTCATGTTCTCTCTTTAAAAAATATTTTAATATGTTATTATATTATTCAGAATGGAAGTAATATACATAAATCATTATATAAACTGTAAATTTATTCTTTTCTAAAAAATATTTATTTAATTTTATTGTGAAATTGACATTATACATGTACCAGATATAGGTTTGTAGTTTTTTTAGGGGGTTTATTTTAAATTTGTTTTAACCTACTGTCTCATAGTAAGGCCATGAGATGATTTTAAAATAGAATTCATCACTAAGCACCCCATCATTTAAAGAAAAAAGCCTGATAGGCTCTCGACTCATATATGAGTTAACTGTCGCCTGAGCTCAATTCCATCTTGACTGATATATGAGTCCACTGTCATTAAAGAGTTAAATGATATGGTTCTTTATAAGAATTTACTATAACAAACACATAAAGAATTTTAAATTTTTCAGAGAACTTATTGGGCTGGATCAGAATGCCATATGGAATATACCTTTTACCCAAAAAAAATTTGATATAGAAGCATTGATTAATCAAGTGATGTCTGAAGATTCATCTGATGAAGAATATGAACCACAAGAAGATGTAAGTAGATTTTTATTTAAATTCATTGAGCCTGTGATTCTACTTCCGTAACGTTAATGAATTTTCTTAGGTAAAGACTTTAAATTCTTAATTGGTTTGGTTGTATCTGTAGAACAACTCCCCTGTATGCCAGAAATGGCAAAATAGAGGGTAAAAAAAAAAAAACAGTGGCAGAGGAGCATGGTCAATGGTGGGAGTAAAGAAGTAGAAAACAGTGGGCAGGTTTGGTGAAAAACAAATCCAATTTAAGTGTTTGGTTCAGTGCCTCATTTAGTTTCTTTCACTGTTTTTCAGTATATTGCTTCACTATTTCACTTTCTACTATTCATTATTACAAGTATTATTAAAAGAACAAAAAAATGTAAATACACTAATATAAATAAGTTAGATCAATAAAATGGATTAAATCAATGCGTAACTGATAACAATGAAAACATTAGTTATGGTTAGTGGTTAAAATGCTCTCGCTTCCTATACTTTCCTATATACTTCATGTTCTTGCCAGGTCTATCTATAAAACAATATTTTATTATTGTTTGGTATATGTCAGTTATAATGTTGTCTATAATTGTTATATTCCAAAAGCAAATTTTCAAAATAGCTTTTTACTCAAAATATATAAGATAGACTATTAAATAGCGTAAAATTCCTTTAATAAAATAATAATAAATTCTTTTTTCAACGGTTCATGTGGTAGATTTTTTGGATAAAATTTCAAAACATCTTCTTTTGGTTACAACAAAAACGTTTCACTTAAAAAGTAAAAATATTTTCTTATAAATAAAAGAGGGAAAAATTAAAAGTCTGAATGCAAAAATAATCAATATTTTTGATTTTCTACTTGAAATTGCTTCTCTTACGTTTTTTTTTAGAGGTTGAATCTGATGTCAGTTTTACAAGAAATAAATAAAACATTGTTATAATCATAAATTATTAAGTTTGACTGACCTTGGGTTGCTTGCATAGTTTTAATTATGGATGATGAAAAGCGAAAGAAACAACTCCACCAATGTCTCTTTTACATGAAATTTTTGCTGGGGTCTTCTTTTTGGTTAACTGTGTTTATCCGATCAATAATATTCATTAAATAGTTTTCACAATGACAAACTTTACTTTTTTTTTTAAAGTAAATTTTGTCTAGTTTACAATGGAGCAATTTTTGAATCCTCAAATTCAATATTTTTTTAGTTATCGATTCCTATTAAACAAAAAATGTTATTTAATTAAAAAAAACACAAATCTTAACTTTTCTGCTGGAAATTGGGCAATTTTTTATATGAATTTTTTTATAGATCTTGATGTCCATTATCAACCTTATAAATATTTTCCTCTACTTAGGGGACACCCTGTATACGAAGTTCTGTCATAAATACAGTTACAAAAGTCGAACTTTGTTTAAATCCTTGGGTATAATCCACCTTTTGGATTTCCATCCCACTTAAAATCCACCATGGACCATCCTTATCCATATTTAAAACCTTATTCTAATTCTTCCTTACAATTCAATCATATACTGGGTAGCTATTTATTATTTAACAAGATTTAATTTTTCTCTTTCCATCATTTGTATAAAGTCCATATATATATATATTTGTGCCACACCACATCATTAAGTGCCACACCACGCGCAACATTCTCAGCAATAGAGGCATTTTTAAACTTAATATTGAAAAAATTAAAAGCCGGAGACTAAGAAATGTGCTGCAAGAAACGGGACTGAACTAATGATACTGAATAAACATTTTGATTCCATATAAAGTAAACATTGGATTATTGTCCTCTATATTAAAATTCCTAATTGCAAAACAAACAAAAAGATTACCTATTTATTCATTAAAAATAATAGACCAATCCAATGCAGAAATATTTTTAGATGAAAACATGAAAAAATCAAGTGGGTGGAATTTTTTGCCTGTCAGTGTATATATATATTCTTTTTTGAGCATGGAAAAGATGTCCAGTCACTTTCACTGAGAATTGTTTTTTGTTTGTTTTTCTATTTATAAGATTTTAAGTCTTTGAGATGTATTTAATTTATTATTAATATCGAACGCACTCCTCTGTATGTATATCATCTTTTATTTTCTCCAATCAATCTACATCTTAGGAAATAGATTATATAAGACTTGTATAATGTTTACAATACTATTATTGTATTCATTTGCACATATTAAGGTAAAGATATAAATCATTTATAGTAAATATTTATCTACACTTTTATTATAATTTTTTTCATTACTACAATGGTTTGACAACAAAAGTAATTTATCGTTCATTTCAAATTTCATTTAGTTATTTCATAGTTTATTGTTTGTAACAACTATTTTGCAGTATTGCTCATCTTTTTTCTTTAATATATCTATATAGCTATGTAAATACTTGTGTTATTACTTATGTTTTAGTTATTCTTTTATTGTAATATGTATTTTGGCCAGATGTAATGTTAATTTTTTTGATCAATATTGTTATTCTTAAGTAACTTTGTCCCTGAATAAAGTTGATTATTCTATAATCCTAATAAATTTGCTGTAATCCTAATATATTGGGTAATATCCTAATAGATAATCCTTACCTCTATTAGGTTATTTTTTTTTACATGTCAGGATAATAATCCCAATTAGCCTGTATTTTTCTTTATCATGGAGTGGGGTGATAAAGAAAACCGAATAGCTGTGATCGCCTTACACAAAGTTGGAAAATGTAGGTCAGAGATTTTCAATACTTTGAAACCTTTGGGTAGCAGCCGTATGTTTGTGTACCGCACTATAAATAGATATAATGGAACCCTATCTGTATGTGACAGACCTCGACCAGGGTGCAGTGAGAGCAGTGGCTGCTCGATTCAGAAGAAATCCCATTCGAAAACAACAAATCATGCCTCGGCAAATGGGAATTTCCGTCAGATCAATGTCTCGCATAGTAAAAAGTGATCTTAGGATGGATACATTTCAAAGAATGACAAAGGCTAACCACTTCCCTAAAAAAAATTAGAGTGGATAGATGCAAAGTGCTCCTTGGTCATTATACTAATGGTATTCATCAAAAGTTGTTAGTGATGAGAAAATTTTTATAATTGAAGACAAATTTAATCGCCAAAACGATCGTATGTACGCACACAGCTCTAAAGAAGCCCAGGAAGTCATTGGAAGAGTGGAAAGAGGTCATCACCCTTCCTCAGTGATGGTTTGATGGGGAATTTGCTTTGATGGCATCAAAAAACTCCATTTTTGTGAAAAAGGAGTTAAAACTATCAGAGCAATAGTTTGGAACCTGGAAGCCTCTGAATGATATTCTGTTTGCTGGAAGTCATTAGATTTTCCAACAGGATTCCGCTCCAGCTCACAAGGCCAGGTCAACTCAGCAGTGGCTGCAAAAGAACATTCCAGAGTTCATCTCTGCCACGGATTGGCCCTCAGGAAGCTCTTGATCTCAACCCACTAGATTATTGGCTTTCGTCCGAACTGCAGAGGATGGCATGCTACAGAGCACACCCTAACATGTAAAGCCTCAAACAATCTCTGGTCCGTGCAGTTGAGCGCTTTCCTCAAGAAGTACTGCGTGCTGCTATTGATGACTGGCCACGGAGATTAAATGCCAGTGTCAAGGCAAAAGGGGGACATTTTGAGTAATTTCTTTTTTATTTTACTCTCCATAGATATGCATTTTATTTTCTAATAAATTTATTGAAAAAATTAATTTTTCTGTTGAATCTGTATATATTTCCTTGTAACAATATTCATGACAGGACTAGGTATCATTGTTACATTTACAAAAGTGCCAATGATAGTGTTTTGTAGTAAATGTGAGTGTTTCTGAACGTTATTATGTATATATATAATATTTTTTTATGAATATATTTTTAGAGTGATGAAGATACAAAAGCTAGTGAGAATACAGTAGATGAAGAATCTATTCTGGATGATGATTATTCTGAATGTGAATCTCCTGTTAAGGAAATTATTCAAGGGTCTTCAAACGAATATAATTCAGATGTAAGTATATTAAATATTTTATATGGTATCTAATTAATGAGATGTGGTGATTGTGCTTGCAGTAGAAATGAGTGATTAAAAAACAACCTTGAGGTGGAACTGATTTTAACAAAAATTATTCTTGTTGTAAATAGTAAGTAACATGCTCCTAATCAACATTCTAAAAACACGAGGTGTGGTATTAAATAACTTTGAATTAATATCAATAACTTTTAAATTAAATTAAAATATTTGATAGCTGAAGGAATCAACAGAAGAAGACTTACAGCATTGTTTGACACTATGCAAAATTTGCATGGAGCGTTATTAATAAATATTATATATTATTTATTATACAGGGTGTTTCAGGGTTAAGTGGCCAAACTGAAAATATGAATTAAGGACCTGAAAACAAGAAAAAAAATTCCTAGGAAGGTATATCCCCAAACACTTTGTTTAGGAGATATTCACACCTAAAGATTTTCGTTGTTGTGAATTATTTACGCTATATGAAATAAATAAAACCTATTGATTTGTTATAACTACTTTATTAATTAAACGTAAACATTAAATTCATATTAAATGTTGTTCAAAGTGATTTCCTTGAGCATTAAGACAGACTCGGCATCTTTCTTCAACAGCAGCAGTGGCAGAACGACACTGGATATGTGTTATTGTTTCACAAGATTCAATTATCCTTTTTGGTAGTGAATTAAGATCATTGACCGGACTTGCATAAACTTTCTGTTTAATGTCCCCCAAACAAAAAAAATCCAGTGGTGTCAGGTATGGAGATCGTGCAGGCCAAGCCACTGGTGCTGCATGGCCAATCCATTGATTAGGATAATGAACATTTAGTCATTGTCATGGACCTCTTCTGTAATGTGCAGGACAACCATCTAATTGAAGCCACATGTCCCTTCTCAGTTGTAGTGGAATATGTTCAACTAAATCATAGTAATCATTATTAAGAAATTCCAGAAATGTTCCCGCATTGAGTCAAGGCGGTAAGAAATGCGGGCCTATTAAAATATTGTCTATTATCCCCAACCACACATTGCACTGAAACTGGTGCTGAAAATATGCTCACTAATTGCATGGGTATTTTCCTGCGACCAGAGATGATTATTTTTCTGATTGAAGATACCACTTTTTGTAAAGATACCTTCATCTATCCAGAGAATTTTTCCTGACAATTGTGGATTATTCTCAACTTGATTTAAGTACCAATCTGAAAAATTTCTTCTTTGCAGAAAATCTTGTGGTAATAAATTTTGTATCCGTTGATTATGATATGGGTGAAGTCCATGTGCAATGAGAGTTCTTCATACTGTACTTGGCATAATATGTAATTCTGCTCCAGCTCTTCGTACACTGCTAGATTATTATCAAAATATTGCAATGTGATCGCACTCCTTTCTTCATTTTTGTAAAGGGGCAAAAATAGGTGGTATTATAGCAAATGTATGAGTTTCTCTAAGGCGTTGAAATGGGGAGCTAAAGATTGACTTGTTTGGTAATCTTCTATTCGGAAATCACCTAGCATTAGCTTTACATTGCAAAAACTGTATACAAACACCATATCGGCATATTCATCATTAGTATAAATGGAAGGCATAATGATGAGAACTCTGCAAAAGCCTTTTAAAACTAATAAATGTTATAAAGAATTCCTAATGCTAATTCCAAATAGTATTAATCCTTATGTTGTGAATGGTTTTTATATGGTTAGGGATTAAAGGCCTATTAGTATTCTATCTAATCCATCTCCTAAACTAAGCGAATGCGGACATACCTTCACTTTGAACAACATTTAATATGAATGTTAATGTTTACTTTTAATTAATAAAATAGTTATAACAAATAAATAGGTTTTATTTATTTTATATAGCGTAAATAATTCACAACAACGAAAATCTTTAGGTGTGAATATCTCCTAAACAAAGTGTTTGGGGCTATACCTTCAGAGGAAATGTTTTTCTTGTTTTGAGGTCCTTAGTTCATTTTTGTAGTTTGGCCACTTAACCCTGAAACGTCCTGTATACATTATAAATTTTTGATAGTATATTTATTCACGAGCAGAAACCAATGAAGTATTTTAAATTCAATTAAAAATACTAAATGAATATAAAAATAAATGAAAAAATAATAGAAATTAAATTATTCAGTGTATTGCGTTGCAAAAAATCTTTTCCTCTGAAATAAATATATAAAAACCTAGCAGTAAAAGCTCACAATAAGTCCATGAAAAACAATTACATTTGGACTAATAAATAAAAAATGATACTTAGCATTTTAACTTGTTTCGTCTGAAAGAAAACAAATGTTTACTATCCTAGCTGTAAAAGCTCACAAATAAGTCCATGAAAAATAATGACATTTTGACTAATAACTTAGATGTAGATAGTTAAAAATGTGTTATAGAAATAATAAAAATACTGAAGTAACTCCTATTTTTACTTTCACTTACCTATATATGAAATATATAGTAAGGGACAGTATTGGGATCGTTAAAATTTTCAAATCTGAGTTTTCAACGGAAATACATGTTTTGAGGTCTCCTGAGTACAAATAAACAAGTCCTGCAAAATGTTCTATGTGTGCGTCTGTCTGTTTATATGTTACGAGTCTAGCTCAAAAATGAAAAGTTGTATGAAAATGAAATTGTGCATTTGAGATATGTATATACCTCAGATGTTACAATAACTTTTTCGTCAAAATCGCCTAACCGGAAGTGGCACTTTATATCTACGGTGAAACACATTTTTACAATTTTCTCAAAAACGGCTCCAACAATTTTGATTAAATATGAGAAGGAGTTAGTCGAGTGTGCGGTCAAATAAATAAAAAAAATTAAAATATATTAATTATTTTAATTTTTGCTGACGTTTCGACCCACTTTGCAGGTCGTCTTCAGGGCGTAGGATGTGGCACTGCGGGAGGCAGTTGAAACACTGGCCAACTACAAATAAATGCCAAATAAGTGCCACTTATTTTATGAGAAGGAGTTAGTCGAGGGTGCGGTCAAATAAATAAAAAAAAATTAAAATATATTAATTATATAATTTTTGCCGACGTTTCGACCCACTTTGCAGGTCGCCTTCAGGGCGTAGGATGTGGCACTGCTGGAGGCAGTTGAAACACTGGCCAAATTTTGATTAAACTTGGTGTAATTATTATTATTATTTATTTTAAATAATTAATGATTTCACATTATTTAGAGTTACGAAAAAATGCTAAATATAACTTTTGAAATAATAATAATAATAAAAGGCTTAGCGAACCCGAAGATTCGATGCCAACACCACCAATTGCTTATTACACACCTCCCTCCACCGTTCGCCATCCAAACCCAGTCCCTTCAGATCGGCTCTAATGCAATCTTCCCACCTTTGCTTCAGTCTACCCCTCGGACGCTTACCATCCGTTACAGCAAATATTAATCTTTTAGGAATTCTCTCGTTACTAAGCCCAACAACTTCACAAGCCCATTTGATTCACCGCGATGAAATTACACCAATTATATTAACCGGATACAGCTCACGCAATTCGGCGTTTGCGGAAGTTCCTCCCGGCTAAGTCTGATAGACTCGCTGACCAACAATGAGAGGGGACCTCCAGACTTGCTGGAGGGAGGGGACCTCCAGACTTGCTGGAGGGAGGGGACCTCCAGACTTGCTGGAGGGAGGGGACCTCCAGACTTGCTGGAGGTAGGGGCCCACCAGACTTGCTGGAGGGTGTGACGTAGGATTGAACTCCCTACTCACATATCTTTAGTTCACCAAACACCACAAATAGTCATGGATCTCCCTAAGGTAAAACGCTCATTATCCGGAGGTAAAATAGTCCCCCGTTCGGGTCTCCGGGTGGGGACTGCTTTAGGGGATTCATGGCGCAAGTTGAAATAACTTTTGAAAGAATTTTATAATTGAATAAAGGAGAAAAAAATAAAAATACTTATCCAGGTCGAAAATGAATCTCCGGAAATACTAGTCAGAAGATGTATGTTTAATATATTGTCGGAAAGCGGAGAATTTTTACAAAAACAATATATAGTACAGAAAGTTGTTAAAGGTAACAGAGAGTGGTGAAAAAATTACAAATAATAATTTTAGGAAACTAATGTTATTTAATGTAAATCACATGTTTTCGAAAAAATTAAATGAAATTTACTACCTAAATGTAAACTTTTAAAATAATTTTTAAGTTTGAAAAATTATTTAAAATCCATCTAATCAAAGCAATGACATTGTTTAAAAAACTATATCATTGTACTTGTGTGAAAGAAGTAATAAAGAAAATATTGATTTAGTAATAAAGAAGCTGAAAAAATGGAAGGGAAAAGGAAGAGGGAGTAACAAAAGAAATAACCAAATGGCCAGCTTCCTTACCATTTATCACCCATGATATGTAAAACAGTCGACTAACTTCCTTCAATATATATGTTTATGGTATCTTTAACTGTGAATTGATGATTTGACTGTTTAAATTGATTACTTTAGTGAAAATATTGTTTTATTATTATTATGTCCATTAAATTGAAAAAAATGTAAAAGGACAATTCACTTTTTTGGTTAATGGTCCTTTTATTTTAATTTCAGGAGAACATTTGGCAACGTACACGCTCCAAATTGTGTTTAAGTGAAACTCCTTTAGGAGCAATTGAACAAGCATTTGTTCCACCAGATATTACTACTGATATGTATAACACTCACTGTGATAATCAAGATTGGTTGAATTTCTTAAAAGAAACCTATTATGGTACTTAAATTTGCTATATAATAACATTAGTGCTTTAAATAGTTTCTTTGTTATTGTTGTAATATTAAAGGTTGTTGGTTTAATAGCAATATAAATTGTGTATATATATATATCTAAGATCTTTTATAGACGTGATTTATTCAATTAAAGTAAAAGAATTTAATTACACGTTATTACAACACAAGTTAATTATAACACTAATCCAATATAACAATACAAGAAGGTATTTTCTAATAAAAAATCAGTAACATCTGATTTAAAGATAAGTAACAGTTGAAGTGTTTAAAGGTTGCTCAAGTAACCTTACACCTCCCCCCTGGAGATCGCTTCTTGAGGCGGCGGCGGGAAGTAAGGAAGCAGCTTGCTAGAGTGGAACAAGTTTGAGACGTTCTTTCTCTTTCCGCTGGCTACTTCATAGAACAACGAAGAAATCCGTCTCACGACTGGGAATGGTCCAATCCGAACTGGATCAAGCTTATTGCGACTTAATTTATTGCCATTCTCGACACTTCAACACTTCAACTGTTACTTATCTTTAAATCAGATGTTACTGATTTTTTATTAGAAAATACCTTCTTGTATTGTTATATTGGATTAGTGTTATAATTAACTTGTGTTGTAATAACGTGTAATTAAATTCTTTTACTTTAATTGAATAAATCACGTCTATAAAAGATCTTAGAAATTTAATTGCAAGATCTCAACACATAAGAAATGACTCTTCTATACGTTCAAATTGTGAAGAGAAATGAGGAAGACTTTGTGGTTCATTGTGTTTCAGTCGACAAAAGAAATTGGTTTTTATTAGCAGAAGACACCCAGGACTTGAAATTTCATACGTCTCTATCAAGTAAGAAACCTTTATTAAATGCTGTGTATGCTATAAAAAATGTTAATGGTTATAGAACAATAGGGGTTAAGATTGATGATGACATTAAAATGGAATATTTTGATGAATCATCTAATATTTGTTTTAGAGAGTTACCATTGGTTCCTCTAACAACCCCTATTGTTCTATAACCATTAACATTTTTTATAGCATACACAGCATTTAATAAAGGTTTCTTACTTGATAGAGACGTATGAAATTTCAAGTCCTGGGTGTCTTCTGGTAATAAAAACCAATTTCTTTTGTCCACTGAAACACAATGAACCACAAAGTCTTCCTCATTTCTCTTCACAATTTGAACGTATAGAAGAGTCATTTCTTATGTGTTGAGATCTTGCAATTAAATTTCTAAGATCTTTTATAGACGTGATTTATTCAATTAAAGTAAACGAATTTAATTACACCTTATTACAACACAAGATAATTATAACACTAATCCAATATAACAATACAAGAAGATTTTTTCTAATAAAAAATCAGTAACATTTGATTTAAAGATAAGTAACAGTTGAAGTGTTTAAAGGTTGCTCAAGTAACCTTACATATATATATATATATATTTTTTTTTTTTTTTTTTATTTTATTTTTTTTTTTTTTTACATCATTTGATATTGATTGCTACTACCATTTTTCAGATGGATAAAATATAAATTTTCTCAAAAATTTTAATACTTGATACAAAAGTTCCCAACAATGTCAATAATTAAAGTTAAAATTTCACAATTTCAATATTTGAATAATGAAAAATTATGATTTATTTAGTTTGTAAAGATATATTTAAACATTTTCAACTCTTTTAGATTTGAACATTTCGCTTAACTGTTGCAAACGTTAATAGTTTACAGCAATTTTTTTTTTCTATTGAAATACTACTATGTTTTGATAAATCTATAATATCTTTACTTAAAAAATTAAACTAGAATCATTTGAAATTGCCACATTATCACCATGATACAATTTTTGTTTTTCACATATAATTATCTCTAATGATATGATAATAATTGAATGTAATTTTAATTTAAGAAGAAGTTGGTCAGGGGTGCGTCAATACACATACTACAATAGATAATCTGAATAAAATGATTGTTCTTCTTTTTATTGATCTAAAAATGTTCTAAAATTGAAGTGAATCTATCAGGTCTTGAAATAAAAAATTATTTTTTATAAGTTCCGTTATGACTGTAATCTTTATTTTTAAATGTTTTTCTGTTATTTCAGTCCTTGAACCTTTTTCCATGGCACATTTAGATTTCATAGAACATTTATTTTAAAAAGTATTATTTAATTGTTCTGTTAAAGGAATTCATTTCACAAAAAAGTAAATTTAAAAAATGATAATTGTGCAGTACATTCTTAGCTACCCAAACAATATATATATATATTTTTTTTAATTTATTTATTTAGAAATATAACAATCTGTCACGTGGACAATAATCATAGTGATATATGAACACATTCATACCATATATACAGAAAATGTAAAATTAACAAAAGTAAAATAATAAACAAAAACTATGTACAATAAAAAATAAAATAACCTAAAGATAAGTAAATTAAAAAAAATAAAAAACATAGTCATACCTATATACAATCAGGCAGGGATGCCCAAGCCAGTCTTCTCCCCCCAACTATAGAAGGAAAGACAGGACTTTAAGAGATCCCTGCACTACTCTCTCAACCGTGTCACTGCTGCTAAAGCCAGTGAAGTTTGAGCGAGAGCACTTTAGCCACATACACTCATATCTTAAGTGGAGAATCTGGCCATTAACAGAACTACAAGATATATAATAATAATAATACTTTATTTATTCTGGGACGAGTCCCTTTAGAATAATACAGAAGGACAGAAATGTTGGCTAAGAAGCCTTAGAGATACATAAAAAAAAATGTTGAGTAATGAAATAGTCATAATAAAAAATTATAAGTTACTTTCTAACTTAATAAGTTAATTATAAAAATTGAAAATAATGAAAAACGATCTAATAATTTATATACATATTTACAGTGGTATCTATTTACAATTTTATGGGGACTGGATGGATAAGAAATGATTATCCAGAGAGAATAATTATTATGTATTAGTATGGAGAAATATACTACAAAAGATCTCTGGGCCACTGCCATTTCTTCAACCTTCAAGGAGAATTGTAGGGATGAGTGGAACTAGATAGGGATTGTGCTAGGGGATTCGAATGATTTATAAGGTTCTGATGGAATTTGGAAAATTTTTCAGGGATAAGATCGAGTAAAAATGAGATATTAAGGTCATGATGTAGGTTTTTTTTTTGGTTACATAGAATGGAGCATCGACAAAGTTCGGTGGATTTTGGACTGAAAGGATTGGATATGTTTGATGTTAAAAAATTTAGCTGTCCCCCAAAGTTCAAGTCCGTAGGTCCAAATAGGTTTCAAGATTGTCTTGTATATCAGTAGTTTGTTGTCAATTGAAATTTGAGATTTTCTATTCAGTAGTCTGTATAATTGGCCGTATCGTCTGTTAAGTTCCTGTCTTTTAAGTCTAGTATGAGGGTTCCACGTTAGTCGTTTAAGAGAAAGCCAAGATACCAAACTGTGTCTGCCTGGTTTCGGAAACAGGATAATAGTGGAATGTTTCCACAAAAGAGGAAAGTGGGTGGTTCTTAGGATGGTATTGTATAAGTATGTGAGAAATATAACAGCTTTAGGAGGAATTTGTCGGAGGATCTGGGAGGTGAGGTGGTCGTATCCAGGAGATTTAGGGAGAGGAAGTTTTTGAAGGTGATGTTTGACCTCATAAGGGTTAACAGCTTTAGGGGGCAAGGAAAGTGGAATGGGTGATGTAAAGAATTCTTCTGCATTAGGATGATCAGGATATTGAGGGTGGGGTTGAGGCAATTGCTGCGGCATGGCTTCACATTTCTTAGTTGGGTTCTTACCTCCAAGCAGTTCAGAGAATGATACATTATTATTCACTATTCTAGAAGGTTCTCTTCTTGGTCTTGTTGTCTCATCTTGAAGCCGGGGTCTTTTGGTATTTGGATTTGAGGTTCTTATAAGTTTGGTAGCTCTTTGTAGTTGGCCGGGTGTCACTCTATACATAGGGCACAAACCGCAGGATCCTATACAGGCTTAGTGCCCTCTGCTGATTTGTGTTGTTCGCCACATTTTATGCAACGCGGCAAGTGGTGGCAATAAGTCTTCGTGTGCCATGCGCCTGGCAATTGTGACATTGCACGATTTCCCTCTTGGCGTATGGCTTCTCTATCACATATTTTTTTTCTCATTTTTAATCTTTTTTTGCAGATGGCGATCAGTTGGAAAATAATGATGATGAAAATGATCCTGAATATAATGTTATGGTGGATGAAGAAACTGAAGGTAATTAGGTTAAAGATATTATTTAAAGGTTAAGATGTGGGTAGGACTACTTGAAAGATAATATCACATGCGTGAATATTTAAATCTTCAAACTTTTACGTATTGGCTTAGTTCAAAATCAGATAGGTTTAATATTTTCAAGGGTAAAACTGCATTTTTTAGACCATTTGAAGTAAAGAACTTATTGTACATATTGAAATTCTTTAAGTATTTTATCATATGCAGTAGTTGCATTCAAATCCCTATTTTTCATCTTGCTCCATGAAGATTTAGACGGAATCGTTCAACTATTGATCAAATATTTTCTTTACGGCAAATATTGGAGAAAAAATTGGAGTACAATGGTGTTGTTCACCAGCTATATATCAATTTCAAAAAGGCTTACAATTCTATTGACCAGGGGATTCCAAAAATCGTTGTAAATCTAGTCAGGATGTGCTTGATGGAAACACTCAATAAAGTTAGAATCGGGAATAATTTATCCGAAAAGTTTGAGGTTCATTCGGGTTTAAAACAGGGTGATTCCCTTTCACCTGTCCAGTTTAATTGGCATTAGAACATGCCATTAGGGAGGTGATGCGTACCGAAAAAGGGTTGGATCTGGTTGGAACAATACCCAAAGAAGAGTTTATTGGTGGCAGTGGCATGCGCAAATCCCATGTGCACTACCCTACTGTCACCGAACCCCGTATGCCAGAAATGGCCAGGTAGGGGGATAAAAAAAAAAAAGGTTGGAACAATACCCATGCTTGGCTATGCGAATGATCTGGTCCTGTTAAGTGAAGACACAAAAACTATAAAACTAAATACGACAACATTAATGAAAGCTGGTAAAGAACTAGGGCTCGAAATAAACATGGATAAGACAAAATATATGGTTAGCTGCAAAAATGGCGATATTGATATAGAAGGTAACATGTTTGAACAGGTAGAAAAGTTTAAGTATCCAGGGTCTATAATAACTAGAAAAAACTAAATTGAAGAGGAGATTAAGGTTAAACTGAAGGCGGGAAGTACTTGTTATTTTTCTGTGACAAAACTCCTTAGCTCGCACATCTTATTCCAGAATGTAAAGACTAGAACCTGTAAAACCATTATCCTACCTACAGTTCTTTATGGATGCGAAACCTGGCCGCTTACATTAAGAGATGAACAACGTCTTAAGGTTTTTGAAAATAAAGTATTGCATAGAATATTCGGACCGAAAAAAGATTAGTTAACCAGAGAGTTCAGAAGGTTGCATAACGCCGAGTTGCATGAACTGTATCCAGTTAATATAATTGAGGTCATTACATCGAGGAGAATCAAATGGGCTTTTAAAATAGTTGGGCTTAGTTATGAAAGAATTCCTAAAAGGTTGATATTTGCTATACCAAATGGTAAACGTCCGAGAGGTAGACCGAAGCAAAGGTGCGTTAAAGCCCATCTGGAGGGACTGGGTATGGACGGTGAACATTTGAGGGAAGCTGTGATAAGCGATTGGTGGTGTCAGCATCGAACCTCCAGGTACGCTAAGCCTTTTATTATTATTATTAGTAGTAGTTGCATTTCTATTAGGGTAAGAAATGAAGCTGTAAAAGTATTATAGAACTATTAATCTTCTTGTCTCCCGAGGTTGAAAGCTGTATTCAGTGACTATTATAGGATTGGAAAGGCAAATACTGTTTACTACCAAATATGTAACACAATGGTAGAAAAGAGAGATATAGGTCTGGTTGTAACATTGTTAATTTTCAGCATAGTTTACCTTCTCCTGTATGGTGTTGAGAGCTGAAATGAAGTACCTACAAAGTACAGCTGGAAAAATCAAAAAGCAGCTCATGAGGAATGAACAAAACTCAGAGAGAGTTCAAGATGTGCTCTATGTGACTGCAGAAGGAAAGTAGGTAGGTTTAGTGTTTTTTTAAGTAGGTCATGCTTTTTAACGAATAAGAAGTGATAACTAAAGAAATATTTAATATAATCGACAATTGTTTCAATGTTAACTAGTGGCGATCATAAAGAGTCTAAAATAGTGGAAAAACTATTTTATTTCATGCCAACATTTCTTTTTTTTTATAAATAAAAAAAAATAATGATGATTTGTTAAATACTTTTCATGTAATGTGTAGACGAAACTGTATTTTTCTCCCAAATCTCTGTCAAAAGAGTTAATCCATATTTATAAGTGACAAATTTTATGTTTCTAGTCTTTAGATTTACGTTTTTATGATTAATAATTGAAGCAATCAGCAAGGTCATTTTGTTTTAAACGTAAGTTCTAGGACTTGAAACATTAAATTTGTCACTTATAAATATGGATCAACAGCTATAACAGAGATATGGGGGGGGGGACACAGTTTCATAAATAATTTACATGAAAAATATTTAAAAAATCATTAGCATTATTATTTTGTTTATTTATAAACAATATACAGTGAAACAATTGCCTTAAACGATTACTTAAATTAAATATTTCTTTAGTTATCGCTTCCTATTCATCAAAAAGTATGACTTATTTTAAAAAACACTAAACTTGGATTTCCCACTTTTCTGCTGAGAATTGGCCCATTCTTTATATGAACTTTTTTGTAAGCGTTGATGCCTGCTATCACTCCTATAAAAATTTCCTTCTACTTATGGAACACCCTGTATAAATTATATGTAGTATATGGAAAAAAAAACTTTTATATGTAATACATGTATATGTTTGATTTCTGGTTACATAAAAGTTGAAATAGTGATGTTCTACTACAGTACACTTTATTTAAAATCATACTTTTAAGTTCATTTAAGTGCTATACAAAAAATAATCAATTTCATTACATTATAATCTCATATTTTTTCTTTTTTAGGAATTGATTCTGAGGAATTGAGGATGGACAGGGCTGTTAAAGTAACAAAAAAAGAATTAAATGAGCTCATGTCTGAATTATTTGAATATACAGAAATGCTCTCTTCAGATGAAGAAGAAGAAACTAGAGATGATGATGCAATTACATCAAAATCTTTAGATGATGTTGAAACTCCCTCGACATCTTCAAATACCCCTGTATCGTTGAATGTTCGTAAGAGATAAGATTTACAAGTATTGCTTTATATCTAATAATATGAAATCGGACAGACCTACTTTCATAGGACAGAATATTTGATTCTTAAGTAGAAATACACAATCGTTCCATAGTTTACTATGATAGGGTAAAAAAGTGGAATAAAGGATATTTTTCAGTAAAAATATTTCTAATCAAGATAGAATGATATTTAAATAAATATCCAGTCCAAATTGATGATAATTTTCATTTTACAAAATTTGTTATTTATTCAGCTTTAAAAAAGGTTAATTATAGTATTTTCAAAATCTATGTCTCTAATTATATAATATTTTATCTTGATATCGAAAAAATCCAACGATTTAATATAAATAAATAAGAAAACTTGCAATGTTGTAAAGTAGCTTTTATTTCTCTAAATTTCTTTTAGGGGGTGGAAGCTGAAGATGAAAAATGGGATATTTGTAACAGTGAATATTGCCAATTTACTGAAAAACAGAATTGTCTCTTACAACAGCAACTTCAACAACATGTACAATTGCTTCTTCAAAGCTTTTTACTTTCTTTTAAACATCCATCTCTACCTGATAGTTATGCTTCAGAATGTAGAAAACGTATCGTAAGTTTTATTTCATCTTTACTGTATAGACTATTTTATGCTACATCCTTTATTTGCTTTTTAGTTATGCTTAAACCTTTTTAAGAGTATTAATTGATTAAAAGTGTGATGCTTATAAAGCTTTTACTGTAAATATTATATATGAATGATACCTGCCTATCTTGGCCTAAAGGCAGCCATAAAAGGAACTGATTTACCATTTCCGGTCCCATAACTGCAGAAATAATTTTCTTATTTTATCACTGGTAATTAGAGATAATATAGTGGATAATGTTTATATTGACATCGGTTGTAACGATGTATCGGCTTTAACGATGAAAATAACAGGTCCAATGATTCAGAAGGCATTTGTAACGTAGTTTTTAATAGATCTAGTGACTATCATTATAGCAACTGATTGCATTTAACGACTCGATTTCTTAGAATTTTTAGAAAAAATTATCAGATATAGTGACAGTTGATTCTCAATGAAGAATTAAAAAAAAATCAGGAATATTTTCGAGAGCATGATGAACGTAGTAAATCTTTCAAATCACAAAAATAATAATGATCGACTCACGACAAAATCGAGCAAGTTCATCTTGATCGTTTAGGACCCATAGAAGCTGCAATATTCTATCATCAGTGTCAGGGCTGATATTACTCGATAAGGCTAACAAAGTTTTAAAATAAAGTTGCGGTCCTCTTTATGAACCCTAAACCAGTATTTCGGAGGATATATACAAAGATTTTGCTAAGTTCATTTTATTCATTATACTTATTTTCTTTCAATATAATGTCCACGGCCATTATTGATAATCAGGATGAATATAGCAATTGTGCTCATTATAACCAATATACTTTTGGAATGATAAAATTTATCCTGTTCCTTCAAGATTGTTATAAACGATATCCACTGTAGATGTTTCAAACAGATCAAATTTGGTTACATTATCCAACTTTTTCGCTGGGTTATAATATCTGCTGGTTTGAATTTTTCTCTATGAGCTGTATAAAATGGTAGATGAAAGATCAGATGAAAAATAATCTACTCCTTGAAAGAAAAATTCAGGTCAGCAGATAAACTAAGAGTTTGTTTTACTATTACATATGTTACACTAATTATGTTTAAAATTAAATAAACAAAATATATTTATTTCTATTAAAATTTTGTAATTAATTAATTTACTTTTGATACAGTGAAATCTCTATCTATCTTACATGAAGGTTCCTTGAAAAAAATTAGATATATGGATCATTTCAAAATTTTGGTCACATTTGGGCATCAATTATTTTGAAAAAGAAAAAAAAAATCAGAGTAATAACGTGTTTTTCCACTTCTTTGCAATCTTAATAATTGTCTTAGCAAGTTACTAATATGAGCATATTTAGTCGGCAACTCAGCCATAGATATGTCATTTTGAAAAAAATTATTTTCTAGAAGAATGAGCTGTGAGGTACATGTCTAGGGAGTGATAAATGATCAAGATTGTATTTTATATTCCGGTTTCATTTGTACACACCTGGTAAGTCTTATAGAACAAATGTTGACTGTCACTCTCCACCATTTTGGCATTCAAAGGAACCCTGGTAGCTTCTCCAAACCTGACTTACCACACTTGATAATGTTAATATCTTCAGTGCCATATTCCTTTGGATTAACTACTTTAAAAACAACATCTGCGATCATAATCTCTATATATGTATGATACTCTGTTGGGATTTTTAATACCCAAGTTAATTTTTAAAAAGATTGAATGAAATACAAGTTTTCTACAAAAAGATATAAGATGATTATAAGTTATAAAAGAGTTGTACTCAAGATAATTCATACTTTTGAAATTAAGTAGATATATTTTCTTATTCTTCAAAGGCAGATAGGAAGAAATATCATTTAAGTTTTAAAAGATTTTACTTCATTGTAATTTACCTATTTTTACTGTTAACTACAGGTTCTACAATGGTGAAATAATGAATTATTGACATTTTAATCAGCTATTCCAATAATACTTTTATTTGCAAATGAAAATACAAGGTGTCCAATATAAATCAGCTCAAATGTTTTCTATGACCAAACATGTGATGGTCTAACCTAAAAATGTTTGAAGAAAAGGTTTTAGGTCTACTTCTATAGTTTCAATAACTAGTGGTGGGAGCCCTTGGGCAGACTGGCATAGCAGCTGATTTATATTAAACACCCTGTATATGTATATATACATAGCATGTATAAAGTACTTTTAACTTTTTTTAGTTAGAAGTTAAAATGGATTTAAATTTTTAGATGGAATTAAAAATTTTCAAAAGCAATGCACCTGTTGTTGGAAATTATAACATTATTAATTTGGAACCCTCTATACAGTTGATGAATAAATGGGTAGAATATTTAGATAATCAGGAGAATTTGACTTCCATGCAAAGGTATTTTTAATTTATATCTGCTCTCTTATTTTCAAAAGTAAATGTTTAATATTTCTGAACTCTTTTAACATTACCTTTTCATTAACTTACACTTACAGGAACTATTTACTTTTGAAATAACCTAAATCTGTTCATCTTTCAATTGAATTTGATGGTTTTTATTTTAATTGGTATAAAAAAACTGTTACTGTTACATTTTGGTATGATATTTGTTTTGTGTGAAAGCTATCATACCCAATTGTCGTATTGCTGCGAATAGTGAAAACAGATCAGATAAGATCTAAAAGATAAAATTTAATCCAGGCCAGCTTCCAGGTACACTGGCCCCATTCCACGCAGATATTCACAGAGGCATCAACTAGAGCAGACTGGAGGGCCCTATCAGTTAAGTGCAATGTCTATGCCAGCATAAAATGGTGAGTTTATTTTACACAATTCCTATAACCTACCACTTCATCAAAATGGAAGTTCCTCCCGGCTAAGTCCGATGGACTCGCTGATCAACAATGAGAGGGGCCCTCCAGACTTGCTGGAGGCAGAGGTCCACCAGACTTGCTGGATGGTGTGATTTTGAATTGAACACTCTACTCATATATATTTAGTTTACCATACACCATAAATAGTTATGTATCTCTCTAAGGTAAAACACTCATTATCTAGAGGTAAACTAGTCTACTGTTTGGGTCTCTGGGTAGAGACTGCTTCAGGGAATTTATGGGGGAATTTGAAAATTAGGGATTTAATTATAGGGACATGGAACATAAGGAGTTTGAATCCAGTAGGTGGATTAAAATCGTTCATGAACGAAGTTAATGGGTACAATTTGAATATCGTGGCGCCACAACATATTAGCTTGCCAGGGGAGGGGTTGATAAGGGAAGGGAAGTACACGATTTGTTATGGAGGAAGCAAAAATCATTGTTTAGGTGCCTGGTTTCTAATTAGGAATAGATCACTATCTGCTTTGAGGGACATTCAATTCTTTAGTGGTTTATTATTTTATTATTATTATTATTATTATTTTATTTTAATTATTTATATATTATTTATTTTACATTTAATTATCATTATTTTTTCTGATACTTGATACACTGAGGGTTAGGTACTTTTATCTGATACTTAGACTTGAACACTGAGGGTTATATACTTTTATTTGATACTTGGACTTAATACACTGAGGGTTAGATACTTTTATCTGATACTTGGACTTGATACACTGAAGGTTAGATACTTTTATCTGATACTTGAATCGGGTACTTTTATCCGTTCCCTACCCTTCAGATTGATACTAGCCTTGCTCTACTAAACTGACGTCACTTTAGAGCAGCTTAAGCATTTTACCTATTGAAAAATTTCTCATTTTTTTACTTTCAGTCATTTCCCTCAGTTTTCAAATAGCTATAATGTTTCTCTACTTTATTCCCAATTCCATTAAAACAGTCAACTGGAAAATCTAATTTATTCCAACCACAAAAAAACTGATTAATAACCAAGTTGAATATTTTATATTTTTAATATAAATTAAAGCTATATGATTGGTTTAGAAGTAAAATAAGTTTTTTTGATGTACATTTTAGTTTGGAAATGAAGATTTTCAACAAATATTATTATCAATGAACATTATAAGTTAAATTAAAAAGAAGTATAACAAAATTGTATTAAAATAGTAGATGTGAAACTTTATTTAATTAATTGAAGTATAAGTATAAAATAATAATTAAAATTTATAAAAAAAGTATTATGTATGAATAGTCATAAAATCTGAATTAAAACAAATGATTTATCAATTTTAGAGAAAATTTATACCAGAGAGAGAATCACTTTATTATCATAAAAGGGTGCTGCCCAATTACATTGGGTTGCTTTAAACACAGCATACTTATTAATTGCTACAGACAATTTTCCAAAACTAATATACAATTATATAGTATTAACAACATGTATGAGCATAATATACAATTTTTTATTTTTATCTATATATATATTTTTTTTATCATAATTTTTTTCCTATATTTTTATTTATTTATTTTTTTATTTATTTATTTTATTTTTACTATTTCTTTAATTCATTTATTAGCACTATACATCCCTTTCTGTTCCTTCTCTCACTCTATACATTTTTCTCGTTCCCTAGATTTTCTCCTCTCTTTTCCTAACCTAATTCATAACATGCATACAAAAACATAAAGTGCAGTGGATGTGGTCAATAAATAATGTAAAAATGCTGTAAAACACGCATGCCTCCCCCCATGAACAAACTCTCTATCCATGCACATGGTGATGGATAATTCCCAGGGAGTCAAGGATTATGTTCTCTGCCAACCTTGCCACGTCCTTTATGTCGACACCAAGGCCCTCCATGAAGCTCCTGGTTGAGTCTGGTATCGTTCCGCGAGCTCCGAACCAAAGGCCTCTCACGTGGAACTCTCTCGGCCCGAAACTCTCGCGGAACTTTTCACTAAGGAAAGGGATGCATTTCTCATATGTCTGTTTTTTCTCCCTTTCCACTTTTCCTGCCTGATCGAGGTCGTTGGTCTCATATCTCACGGTCGGATCCAAAATCATCGCCGACTTTCCCGTCTTAGGGAATGCTACAATGTCGGCATATCGAGTGGATCCATCCGTATCTATACAATATACTTCCTCGAAACAGGTGTAATCTCTCTCTATAAGGAGCCTCATCAGTTCATGTTTGACTCTGTGGTGACGGCGAGGAGGGAGTTGTTGGGGCATTTTCCAAGCACATGTGCTGGTGTTTCTGGCTCTCTGTCGCATTTGCGACAGAGGGACCCAACTTCTCTTACCTGTCCGCTGACACCTGGGACTCCACGCAGGGGTGCATAATTAATATTCAGTTTCAGGGCATTTGACCATTCAGACCCAGAAAGTACTTGCTTATCATACATGTATTTATTGGCTTTCGGGGTCTCTTTAAAATGGCGAACATTACATTAAAAAACAAAACAAAAAACCTGGTTCAGTGTGCGCATCACACAACTTTCACTTATCAGTGAACCACCCTCTTCTTATCAGAAATAAGTATTTTCAGACAAAGGGGAAGTGAAAGTAAAAATTATAAACACTATATTGATTTATATTTCGTTTTGGATATATTTATTTGTTTAAGTACCCTTTTATATATATATATATATATATATATATATATATATATATATATATATATATATATATATATATATATACAAATTTTAATATTTATATCGCTGTAGTCTATACAATTAAATATTAAATAATACCAGCGAAAACATTAACCTTAGCAAATCGACTGTCGATGACCACCTCAAGGCTATTGGAAAGGTAAAAATCTGGTGTACGCATCACACGAATTTCATTTACCAACCTCTTCTTAGAAGAAATAAGTATTTTCAGACAAAGGCGAAGTGAAACTAAAAATTATAGACGCTACATTTATTTACATTTCATTGTGGGTATTTTTTAATTTTTGAATATAGACAAATTTTAATTTTAATTTTTATATTGCTATATTCTATACAATTAAATATTAAATAATACCAACTATAGCATTTATGAAAACCGCATATGTATATGTACATAATACTGTCGGAGTCCATATTTTATTATGCTCATGTTATGTATTGAAGCCTGTTCAATTCTTCAGGTGAGCTCGTATCCCTTTGGTTCCTTCATTACAACTATTCTCTGTTACGATCTCATATTTCTCCTTTAGTTAATTATTAAATTCTTTCACATTTTACATTTAGCTATTTTTTATATTAGATATCAATGTGAAATGGTTAATTGTTTCAAATAAAAAAAAATTAAGGGTACTTTAGAGTAGGCTAATGTTGAAAATTAGCCATTTAAGCCCTGTTAAAGAACATCAATTAAAATAAAACCTACATAATATTAAAAACTGCTTAATTTTACACTGATATAATGAATTTAATCAAAATCGTTCGTGCCGTTTTCGAGAAAATAGTAAAAATGTGTTTCATAAAGTGCCACTTCCGGTTAGCCAATTTTGGCGAAAAAATTGCTGTAACATCTGAAGTATATACAAACCTTAATATGCAATTTCACTTTCATATTACTTTTCGTTTTTGAGCTAGACTTGTCACATACATACAGACATATATATACACACACACACACCATTTTGCGGGACTTGGTTATTTGGACAGCTTGAATTCATTTATCTACTAATAAACTTTTAACTAAATTAAAATAAATGAATAGATAGTTTTAAAGGGATTGTGTACAACTAAAAATTTAACTAAATAATTATAACATTCCTCTTTTATTCATGTGGCGAGTCTGTACAACCATTTGTATCCATGTGAGTATCTGTATCAGATACTTTTGGGTTGTATCTACTGCTTGCATCAGCTACTTTTTGTTATATCTACTGCTTTTATCAGCTACTTTTGATATTTATCTACTGCTTGTATCAGCAACTTTTTAGTATTGGATACAAAAAGTATGTGATACATACAATCTTACCCATCCCTTAGCAGTTTCTCATTGATACTCATTCTTGTTTTTTTTTTTCCTTTAAATTAGGGATATAAATTCTTCTTTTATAATTTAATATGGTAAAATCTTGTCTGTACCGCTGCTGTTCAGCAATTAGGATCTTTAATAATTAAAAATATAAACAAAAGTTTCATTTTTTTTTTTTTTTTTTTTGGGCTTTAAGACTTGTAAAAGCAAGTCCTATTTTGAAAAGTTTCATTTTACAGCAATTGAATCTACATATTTAAAATCTATTGATGAACATTCCCTCTCATGTAATATTTTATACATTTCATAATAAACACAACAAATTAATATCAAATATTAATATCAAATATTTTTCAATTTGATAATTTAGGACTTTAATTGTCCTTTTATTAAATCTGGATATTCAGAGAATAATAAAACATGAACAAATATTAAACAAATCGGCTTAGGCAATAAAAAACACTAGTAAAGCCGAAGAACTGTCCAGGCTACTTATTATATCAAGAAACACAGTTACA